TGATACCAAAACCTGGCAGAGACACAACTAAAAAAGAAAACTCCAGGCCAATATTCATGATGAACATTGATGCAAAAATATTCAGTAAAATACTGGCAAACTGAATCCAACAGCACATCAAAAAGCTTACTGACCACGATCATGTAGGCTTCATCCCAGGGATGCAAGGCTGGTTCACCGTACACAAATCTATAAACGTAATCCACCACATAAACAGAATCAAAGACAAAAACCACATGATTATCTCAATAGACGCAGAGAAGGCCTTCAACAAAATTCAACAGCCCTTTATGCTAAAAACTCTCAATAAACTAGGTATTCATGGAATGCATCTCAAAATAATAAAAGCTGTTTATGACAAACTCACAGCCAATATCATACTGAACAGTCAAAAACTAGAAGCATTCCCTTGAAAATCTGGCACTAGACAAGGATGTCCTCTCTCACCACTCCTATTCAAAATAGTATTGGAAGTTCTAGCCAGAGTAATTAGGCAAGAAAAAGAAATAAACAGCATTCAGTTGGGAAAAGAAGTTGTCAAATTGTCCCTATTTGCAGATGACATGATCATATATTTAGAAGACTCCATCATCTCAGCCCAAAAACTCCTTAAGCCGATAAGCAACTTCAGCAAAGTCTCAGGATATAAAATCAATGTGCAGATATGACAAGCATTCCTATACACCAATAAGACAAACAGAGAGTCAAATCATGAGCAAACTCCCATTTACAATTGCTACAAAGAGAATAAAATGCCTAGGAATACAACTAACAAAGGATGTAAAATATCTCTTCCAGAAGAACTACAAACCACTGCTCAAGGAAATAAGAGAGGATGCAAACAGATGGAAAAACATTCCATGCTCATGGTTAGGAAGAATCAATATTGCAAAAATTGTCATACTGCCCACAGTAATTTATAGATTCAATGCTATCCCCATCAAGCTACCATTGGCCTTCTTCACAGAACTGGAAAAAACCACTTTAAACTTCATATGAAACCAAAAGAGAGCCCATGTAGCCAAGACAATCCTAAGCAAAAATAACAAAACTGGAGGCATCACACTACCTGACTTCCAATTATACTACAAGGCTACAGTAATCAAAACAGCATGATACTGGTACCCACACAGGGATATAGACCAAAGGAACAGAACAGAGGCCTCAGAAACAATGTCACCCATCTACAACCATCTGATCTTTGACAAACCAGACAACAACAAGCAATGGGGAAAGGATTCCCTGTTTAATAAATGGTGTTGGGAAAACTGGCTAGCCATATGCAGGAAGCTGAAACTGGACCCCTTCCTGACACCTTACACAAAAATTAACTCCAGATGGATTAAAGATTTCAACATAAGAACTAACACCATAAAAACCCTAGAAGAAAACCTAGGCAACACCAACCAGGACATAGGCATAGGCACGGACTTCATGAATAAAACACCAAAAGCATTGGCAACAAAAGCCAAAATAGACAAATGAGATCTAATTAATCTTAAGAGCTTCTGAACAGCAAAAGAAACAATCATTAGAGTGAACCGGCAACCAACAGAATGGGAAAGAATTTTTGCAATCTACCCATCTGACAAAGGGCTAATATCCAGAATCTACAAAGAACTAAATCAGATTTACAAGAAAAAAACAAACCCATTCAAAAGTGGGTGAAGCATATGAACAGACACTTTTCAAAAGAAGACATATATGTGGCCAAGCAACATATGAAAAAATGCCATCATCATTGGTCATTAGAGAAACACAAATCAAAACCACATTGAGATACCATCTCATGCCAGTTAGAATGGCAATCATTAAAAAATCTGGAGACAACAGATGCTGGAGAGGATGTGGAGAAACAGGAACACTTTTACACTGTTAGTGGGAGTGTAAATTAGTTCAACCATTATGGAAGACAGTGTGGTGATTCCTATTCCATTTGACCCAGCAATCCTATTACTGGGTATATACTCAAAGGATTATAAATCACTCTATTATAAAGACACATGCACATGTATGTTTTTTGCAGCAATGTTTATGATAGCAAAGACCTGGAACCAACCCAAATGTCCATAAATGATAGACTGGACAAAGAAAATGTGGTACATATACACCATGGAATACTATGCAGCCATAAAAAATGACAAGTTTGTGTCCTTTGTAGAGACATGGATGAATCTAGAAACCATCATTCTCAGCAAACTGACACAAGAACAGAAAACTAAACACCGCCTGTTTTCTCACATGGGCGGGTGACGAAAAATGAGAATGCTTGGGCACAGGGAAGAGAACACCCACTGGGCTAGGTGTGGGGGTGGAAGGGCGGGAAGGGGAGGGAAAGCGGGGTGGGGGCAGGGAGGATGGGGAGGGATCGCAGCAGGAGAAATGCCTGATGTACACAACAGGGGTTGGAGGGGATGGAGAGAGCAAACCACCATGGCATGTATGTACCTATGCAACAATCCTGCAGGATGCAGGATGTGCACATGTACCCCAGAGTCCAAGGTACAATAAAAAAAAGAAAGAAAGAAAACATACAAGTAAGTGTGCAGCAAACCTAATATGTTCTGGATTCTATGATTGTAACAGTGAGCATATGAGCAACTAATAACGGAAAACCATTTCTTTTTGTCAAAAAAAAGAAGTCAATGAACAATAGATGCTGGTGAGGCTGTGGAGAAATAGAAAAGCTTTTGCACTGTTGGTGGGAATATAAATTAGTTCAACCATTGTGGAAGATACTGTGGTGATTCCTGAAGGATCTTGACCCAGAAATACCATTTGACCCAGCAATCACATTACTGCATATATACTCGAAGGAATACAAATCATTCTACTATAAAGACACATGCACATGTATGTTTATTGCAGCACTATTTTCAATAGCAAAGTCATGGAACCAACCCAAATGTCTATCAATGATAGACTGGATAAAGAAAATGTGGTGTATGTACACCATGGAATACTATGAAGCCATAAAAAGGAATGAAGGTCATGTTCTTTGTAGGAACATGGATGAAACCGGTAGCCACAGGAACAGAAAATTGAACACTGCATGTTCTCACTCATAAATGGGAGTTGAACAATGAGAACACATGGACACAGAGGGGAACAACACACACCGGGGCCACTTGAGGGGTGGGTGGCAAGGGAGGTAGAACATTAGGATAAATAGCTAATGCATGCAGGGCTTAAAACGTAGATGATGGGATGATAGATGCAGCAAACCACCATGGAACACATAGACATTTGTAACAAACCTACACTTTCTGCACTTGTATCCCAGAACTTAAAGAAAAAAAAAAAAAAGCTTAATTTATTGAACACTTAATATATAGCAGGGGGTTTTCTAAAGGACTTACATGAGCTATCTTACATAAATCTCTAAGCAACTGTATTACTATTATCCAATTTTCATGTAAAGAAACTAAGGCAAAGAGAAGTCAATATTTGGCCAAGGTCATATATCTGATAAAGTAGTCAGAATGCTCATATAAAAATCATTTTCAATACGAGATTATAAACATTTCCTCAAAACCAGAAGGTGATGACATGTTTTTTAAAATTTAGGCCAAGTGTAGTGGCTCACGCCTGTAATCCCAACACTTTGTAAGACTGACATGGGAGGATTGCTTGACCTCAAGAGCTTGAGACCAGTGGGAGGGTTGTTACAGCCAAGGGGTTCAAAGTTGCAGTGAGTTATGATCCTGTCTCTGCACTCTAACCTGGACAACAGAGTGAGACCCTGTCTCTAATAAAATACAAATAAATAAAAATAATTAACCTCTTCTGACTTGCAATTTTTCCTTTCTAGAATTATTTTTATCCAATTACCTTCCTATTTGGCATAAATAGCCCTTGAAAACCTGGTTGTATGCCAGTAGGCCAAGAGCTCCCCTTGCTACTCAGTGGCAACTCAGCCAAGTCCTCCAGCCTTTGAACAGAGCATGGTTACATTACTCTAACTATCTTTACAAAAATTATCTCCAAGTTATACACACTATTCCAGTTTATAATTTTAGGACATTATTAAATACTAATCAGCTTCCTGAATTTAAGAAACTCATTTTTCACAGGAGTTTTTTAATGCAATCTGAATTTTGGTAAGTACCTTCTTTTACTAGTTTATATATTTTTTATCTTTATTAAGGCATAATTAATAAATTAAAATTATATTTACAGAGTACAATATGATGTTTTGATATATGTATATATTGTGAAATGATTAAATCAAACAAAATTAACATAGCCGTACCTCACATATCATTTTTTTTTTTGTGCTGAGAACATTTAAGATCTAATCTCTTTGCAATTTTAAAGTTTAAATTACATTATTAACTATAGTCTAATATAACTAGACTTACATTAGATTTCTAGAATTTATTCATCCTGTCAAACAGAAACTTTATATCCTTTAACCAACAACTCCCTCAGTGCCTCTCATCACCCTTCAGCTGCTGGCACTAGTCCCACTTTCCTCTTCTATGTGTTCAACCTTTTAATATTCCACATATAAGTGAGATCATGCAATATTTGTCTTTCTGCTCCTGGATGATTTCAAACAGCATGATGTTCTCCTCTTCTATGAGTTCAACCTTTTAATATTCCACATATAAGCGAGATCATGCAATATCTGTCTTTTTCTTCCTGGCTGATTTCAAATAGCATGATGTCCTCCAAGTTCATCCGTGTCGTACATAAGATTTTATTCTTTTTTAAGGCTGAAAAGTATTTCAATTGTTCCACTGATGGACACTTAGGTTAATTCCATATCTTGGCTATTGTGAATAACAGGTAAGCAAATATTATTTTAAAATTAAAAGGTGCACTAACTACTGAAACCCAATGTGAATTCTTTCTAAAAATAAAGTTTCATATGGCATGTTTATATGCACATATACATATATAGTATGTATACTTACATCAGGGGTGTGTGCGTGTGTGTAGATTATTGAAGAAAAAAGCCCTGACATTATTTTCAGATAAGGCCTTTTCTTTTTCAGATTAATGGAGGCATTCGAAGTATGGCAATTCGACATTTTGGTGAGTTACTTAGGGAAATGAGTCAGTACACATGGATGCTGAGCGATGTGGTTCTAGGAGGCTTAGTGCCCCTAATCGTCTTTTTGGAGGATGACGAAGAAAGAGTAGCTAACGTAAGTCATTTGATCTTCTCTTTCATAATTTTACAAGGAACTACAATGTTTTATCTAACAACAGATAAATAGATCTTCACTGACCTTTTTCTGTCTCACAGGCATGTAAATATACATTAAAAATATGTACCTTACAATTAAAGTGGTCAACATCATATTTGCTCAAAAATGCAAATTACAGTTTTGAGATGGTGGTGCTCAATATCTGTAACAATCTTGTAAGTGGCCCTTCCATTTTTACTACTATAAGAGTTGTAGAAAAGCTTAAAGTATATCCAAAGTGATTAGAAACTGTGATTGGGATAAGATATAAGATTGGATCTTGGAGAAAATAAAATGGAAGAAAGGATCTTAAGTGAGTGATCATACCTGGAGCTGAGAGGAATTATAATTTTCCACTTCCTCATTCCCAACATTGATCATCTATCTTTTCTTCTTCATCCATCCCACCCATTTTGAGCTATAGATGGGTACTAAGGTAGGAAGAACACCCCAGATCACGAAAAAGAAAACTAGAATTACTTTGCCACTGCCTCATGAGCTAGTCCTCTGAAACCCAGTGTGAACAGCAATGATAGACAAGTGGGGATGGGTGAATGCTAACCAAAGAATGGAAAAGGAGAATTGAGTTTGGGAACAAGAGTATAGTTCACACAAAAATAAAATCCCCAACTTTTAATTTGATCCTGATTTGGTATGTTGAAGCCTTTCTAGAGGGAGTAATTGTGCTATTTCTACAATTCCCCACCCCCTCCACTTTTTATTCTCAGATTATTTCTCACAGGAACTACATTAGAGATTTGATATCTGATACCTTAGGATTCCTGTGGAGCTCCAGAACATATCTTAAGAGAGCATCGGTTATTTTAGTAGGTAAATATAATTCAATCCTCATTTTCTAATTTGTCTTAAACAGTACGGAATGGAGAAGAAGCTAAAAGTCTTCCTTACATTTTTTTAAATGTCTCTGTTTATGAAGGATAACACTTGTCATGGTGATAGAGGTTAGTAAGTGTGATAAGAATAGAGTTCTGTTTTATAACACAGAGAAGATAGCTGTGTGATTATTATGCAAAGTGTGTTCAACAAAATGGATTTCAAAATTTAAGATGGTGACATACCACTGTTTATTATTCCCCCTCACCACTTAAAACTGACTACTGAAAGATTGAGAATTTTTAAATATACATAAAAACATCATCTTTGACCCAACTTGGACATCTGTAACCACAAATTACAATAGATGAGGAAGAACTACCAAATCCACTGAAGTTTTTAAAAAGTGGAAACAGGGGCAACCCAGGAAGATTGTAAGACTAGGCAAGTTTTTTATATCAGACAAACCTGACCAAATAGTTTTTCCCTCCCAGCTCTCACTGTGAAAATAAAAATTAATTATTCTTTATTTTGGAATTTCCAACTTGGTAGTGAGTTTCCAACTTGGCAGTAGGATCTTCCCTTAACCCCAATTAGCATCATGGAATAACAGGAGCAGCAAGGAATGAGGAAATACACAGTCACATTATACATATAGAGAGGGGGCTCCTGATCAGGGTAGATGACAATGTAAATTATGATCAGCACTAAAGCCCATTATCTGTGCTAATCAAAGAGGAGTGGCAGAACACACACAGACACAGACACAGACACAGACACAGACACACACTCTCACTCTCTCTCTTTCTCTTTCTCTCTCACTCAAAGAAAAGCCCTATGTTTTTATCATAACTTACTTTCTCTTTTTTTTTTTTTTTTTTTTTTTTTTTTTTTTTTTTTTTTTTTTTTTTTTTTTTTTTTTTTTTT